GCTGTAGGTCTTCCTAACCCCGCACAAGTATCGACTTCTGGGGAGTTGGTTCCCAACTTTGAAGTAGCGATATACAAATTTTACAAATTTCTTACACGATGCTCTCTTGGCTATCGTGGTTCGTATTGATACGCTCATCGCTAGGGAGTCGCGCGTTACCACCGATACAACAAGGCCAGCAGACTCTGACGTAAACAGCTCGTGACGTCACCAAGAGAGGCCAGTGTTTTATTTTATCGCTTGTCGACTAACGCGTCAGTTCGTGTTAATTCATCGGTGATTCACGTATGTTTTTGAAACGGTCCCGAATTCTTTTGTTGTTTATTCATCAAAATAATTGGCGGAAAAATTACTGTTTTGTGAAATATTTTGTGTTGTGATCGGCGAAATAACAATGCCTTTCAAGTGTTGTGTTCCCTTTTGTCGGGGGAATTATGTGGGTGGTTCAAAAGTTCATGCTTTTAGTTTCCCGTTGGACGAGGAGCTATCGAAAATGTGGGTATTTATGCAATTCACCGCGAGGATTTTACTCCATCTAAGTTCAGTAGTGAACAGAGCTTAATTTATAATGATGAATTAATAATAGAAGACAATTACTCTCTCATAAAAAGTATAAGTAGAGGAAAAATAGAAAAGCTTTGATTGTGCAGTTAGTTTTGTATTCGTATATTATAGTCAACAAAATCATCTCTGAATTCGAGGAAATTTTCATGAATGTTCATAATAAACGGGCATTTTTAATTCTCATTCTCAAATTTCTTTCTGAAAACGGTCATTTGCCTCGTGGCAATGAATGCAGAATTCATTCCAATGATCAAATTGCAACTCATATCATATCAACATGAACTACAAACACTCTACTTGAAAAGGTAAAACTGCATTTATCATGATATTCATCATGAAGATATTTGACTAAAAAGTTATGCTGCTTGTTCACTAAATATGAAAAACTCGCCATAAAAATCATATTTCCTGTTGAATTTTCTATATAAAAATGTGCCATCGAAGTACGTCATGAGTATATAAAGTGTACAATGACAAAATAAGAGCAAGTAGCTTCAAATGCCCCCAACACAAGGGGAGAAAGAAGGCGAAATTTCGAACTTTTTCTTGAAATATCTCAATAAATAGTGGTTTATTCACATTTTCATTATAAAATTCGGTTTATCAGACAAAAATACGTGAGTACCGAAAAAAATTTTCAAGAAAAAAAAACCATCGCATGATAAATGCAGTTTTACCCTTAAAAATTACGGTTTCAAGTGTAACGATCCACTTGGGTGAAAAATCCAACAGCAGAAAATTGAAAACACTCACTGGTTATTTTTTCAGGTAATAGGAATTCTCCAAGATAAATATATCGTAAATATAGGTAATTGTAACAAACGGCATGTCAATCAAAATAAAATAAATTTTCCACAATTCTCTTTCGATCAATCTCACGATAAGTTAATGTTCTGCGGGCCCTGTATAAGTAGGTGTGAAGTTTACCTTCACCACAATTTTTGCCAATATATTTAATTCGAATGGGTTGCTGTAGGTGGCTATTTGTGTTTTATCCTGGTTTTTTCTTTAAAACTTCGTTTTTCCATAATAAAATCGAATGGGGTGCGAAGAAGGGCTCATTTGACGACTGGCATTCTTTTTTAACCGGAAGCCCTTCAAAAAACAGCAAAATCGGCTCAATGATGATCTAAAACTAAAATCGAAATACGCGGTCGCCTTATAGCGCTATAAGCGCTTGTCGTTTCGAGCCGCTGGTTAGGCCTCACTAAGTGACGTCACCCACGGAGCATGCAGGCCTTGTTGTATCGGTGGTAACGAGTCGCGCCGCAATATTTGGAGCATCCTGTCTAGGTGCTTCTTTATTTATTTTTATTAGTTGGTTGAGTAACGGCTTGCGAGCTTTAGCTGCAGCGTATTTGTCTTGGTATTTATTTGTGAACGATTAAGCTAGTTCAAGGTATGTTTCATACGAGGGGTGAACCTCGGTCAAGATTGTGTAGACCAAACTTCAATTTCACAAGGAATTTCGAGGAATTCCAGTTGTTTTTACACCAGAACTATACCGCACTTCACACAAGAAATTTCAAGAAACTCCAAGGAATTCCAGGAAATTCCAATAAATTCCAAGGAATGGTTTGAATGGCATACACTTAGGATTTCTGGAATTATATTAGGAATTGAAAGAAAGTATAGGAAGTATCAAGGATGTACGGGAAGTATCAAGGAAGTACGGGAAGTATCAAGGAAGTACGGGAAGTATCAAGGAAGTACGGGAAGTATCAAGGAAGTACGGGAAGTATCAAGGAAGTAGAGGAAGTATGAGGAAGTATACGATTTTGAGGAAGTAGTGTACACCATTTAGGTCAGCGGTTCACCCCTCGATTTTCCATTTAAAAAAACATATGTTTGCTCCATAACTAAATAAACAGAAGGTGCTAGCAAAAAATAACTACGCCACTGGATTCTACGAGAAAAACTCTATAAGAACAAGTTTTAACTTCTTCGATAAGTGCAAAGATAACTGAGACACGGGGGGTGCCTGGAAAGTGATATTTTTCAATTCCACCCTGTATCTCGACAACCGTAAGAGCTATCACAATTCTGCTTGCGCCATTATTAATTTCATAAAAAAGTAGCACACTGTCGCGAAAACCGCAATGCTCTATCTTTACTGATAAGGGAGATACCCGGCAAGAAGTGCCCAAATTGGGATACCCTGTACATCGCAGTGATGGAACATACGTGATATCGCAGTGTTTCCTCATCGCGACATCTGAGAGATATCATGTCGCAGATGTGTTTGCTTCTCTTCATCGCAGCGATGGGACATTCATAATATCGCAGTGTTGGCTCATCACGACATTTCAGAGATGTCATGTCGTAGATGTGTCTGCATCTCTATTTATCACAGCGATGTAACATTCGTAATATCGCAGTGTTTCCTCATTAATTGCAACACGTTTGTGATATTGCACTAATAGTTTGTCAAGTCTTCTACGGGGGACGAAGAAGGGTTGGAAAAGAACATAAATGATCATATCTGTTAATACCTACTTGTACATGGATTTTGAAGACGGCAAACGAATCTACTAATCGATTTTGATAGTAGGGTGGTGAACTCAGTTTGTCAGGCTATCTAAGGGGGAAGTAAAGGGGTTGAAAAAGAAAATATATCAATATCTCCGTTAATACTCATTGTACATGCAGTGTATTCAGTTTTTGATATGCTTTTGCAGGATATCTCAGTTATCTTTGGAGATAGAATCTTGCGGTTTTCGCGGTTCTATGCCACTTTTTTGAGAATTGAGAAGATGCCCTAATCAATTTTGTATAACTGTTTCCGTTTATGAGATACAGGGCGATTTTGAAAATTCATACTTTTTGAACTCCCCCTATATCTAAGAAGTATTGTGTATTTTTCGGATGTGGCTAACTTCACTCCTGTGATGTTGTTGATCTAAATTATAAACTAAATGGAAATGCTATTTAGTATAGTTTGAAGTGACCTCATGTACTGAAAATCAAAGAGCACTTTGAATCTGGCACATGGGGTTATTATGAATATTGGACCTTGACTTGTCACCTGCTTGTCACTTAAAAAATAGTTGCAGTTTAATAACAGTTGAAAACAATTCTTTGCATTGTCATTTTTTGCATACAATTATTATGGAATGGAAATCAAAATCCGTTCCGTTCGAAATATATCCAAAAATAGATACCATAGATAGATAGATATAAATGCTGATTGCCTATAATCTGTATTTTTTATTTAGGCAATAAAATAATGTTCAAAGCTGTTCAACAATAATCAATAATCATTATTTCCTAGAAAACAGTTCCCATTAATCATTGCTTTGCTTACCATTTAATTAATTTTCGATAGAGCTCAATATCATATCATTAGATAATAAAGAACTGGCAAGAACACAAGCATCATGATTCATGAACACAAGAAACAAGAATATTTTTCATTTTCAAACTTCAACCTTTTTGGGCCACGTGATACAAACAAACAAAAAAGGAGCTGTGTGAATATGGCAGCCAATGATAGCAGCCAAAATCTCCGAACATTGCCGAGAACCCAGTGGCGGTCAACATGTTTTTTTGCAAGACTCCAAATATGAAAAAATATATATATTGCTGCGATGAGATAGAGTAAGAATCATATTTTGTCGACCTTCACAAAAAATTACATTTTACGTTGTAATTTCCGAACGAAAAACCGGCTATATCCGAAGGCAAGTTCTTTTCGTTTGCTTTTCGTTGACAGACACAAACTTTTTGTCCGCAAACACTTTTCATTTGCTGCAGGGTTGCCAGCTCTACTGAATTTTTAGTAGATCTCCTGATTTGCATCTTGATCTACTGATCTACTGAAACATTTATTCATAACCCAGTGAAAAATATTTTGACACTTATTCATTATTATAATAGCCATTATTATTATCAATCTTTAGTCAATCACATACACTTATGAATTGCATGATATTTCGGCACGCTCTGTTTAAATCAATTTGACAAAATAAGTAATAAATTTACATATAGATACTATATGAGACAGAAATATCTTAATGTATGGCGACTTGCATTGAATTGAGAAAATTGCCTTGTCTCAAACTGGCCCGGAAATAGCATAATGTACGACGCCTTTTTATATTCTTTGGTATTCGGAAACATTAGCAAGAGTGAATGAGATATATGAGAGGTCCTAAATGCGCAGGCGCAGGATTCATCGTTCACCAGTTCGTTCTCGTATGTGACTTACCTTTTTCTATGGCATTAGCGGTCTAGATAGAATAGTTTATGCCGGTAAGATAAACTGGATAAACACTGTAAATGTAAGAATGGGCAACGCTCAGCTACGATCAGCGATAAACACCTGCCGCGATCCGCATGTGTCAAGGCAACATTGAATATTGGCAACTGTGTACCCCTCATGTACCCCTTAAGTGAGCTGTCGGTTTTTGTCAATTGTCATTGTCAGTATTGTAACTGTCAGTGTCACATTCCTCGATTTTGACGTCTATGAGCACTTGGAAATTGTGAAATTATTATCACTTTTATCATCAGTCTTATCACCATTTGATTCTTCTCAAATATGCACGAAAAAGGAACCACACAATGTGACGTAAAGGAATCCTACTATTCCTAATTCTCACTACTAATACTAAACGCACCGACAACATTGTGAAAATATCGTCGCCATTGTTGCTCCATTATCTTTCTGTCAGTGTTGAATCTGTGGTTGAATTTCATTTCAGAAGGGGAGTGTTCAATACTCGAAAAGACGATAATCAGAAAAATACAAAAGTTCCAATAAATGCATTTTCCTAAATTACCTATAGTGAAATATGAAGTGTTCCTGTTTCCCAAGAAAGAAAATTAGTGTAGTGAATAATATTTTTTGTTGTTAAAAATACTAGTGTCTTGAGAAGACCTTTGTTTCAATTTTGTGATAAGACAACATTACAATAATAATTATGGAGGCCGTTGCAAAACATGAATTCAATGCCACAGCTGATGATGAGCTTAGTTTCAGAAAAGGGCAAGTTCTCAAAGTGAGTTTTAAATGCCACTCCAGATAATGGGACATACCAAGAGACTAATTATCTATAGTTCTCCAAACATTTTTTTCTATTCACAGATTCTGAATATGGAGGATGACATGAACTGGTACAGGGCTGAACTAGATGGTAGAGAAGGACTGATTCCCAGCAACTATATAGAAATGAAATCACATGAGTGAGTTAATCAGGAATAGGTATTCTATGAACCACATATTTATTATCACAAACTTTTCAGCTGGTATTATGGACGAATTACGAGAGCTGATGCTGAGAAACTATTGTTGAATAAACATGAAGGGGCCTTTTTAATTAGAATTAGTGAGTCCAGTCCTGGAGATTTTTCATTATCAGTGAAGTAAGTGATATTCTATGTTAAGTGTAGATGTAGAAGAGATCATAGAGATTTTTCTGCATTCAGATGTATTTGCTCTTCCACCTCTGAAACTGAAAGTGGAAAATAAAACATGTTTATCAAATTGATAGGTCATTACAAATTTCAATCATTTTATCTTTAAGACTAAAAAACACAAAAAGGAGTGAACCATGATCTTGTCACACCCAGTATATTCCCTTTTATATTTTTAAAATTGACAATTCACAATGATATTCAATCTACAGGGTGGTCTGGTTTGTAATTAAAAAAAATCAACAGTGTGTTGTACTCATTGAAATAATAAAAAAAGTCCATATAAACATATACATTTGAACACATTGTTTTCAAGATATGTAAGGTGTTGAAAATATGAGTCTGAATATTGTTTTCTGATGAAAAGTTCCAAAGGGTTTGAGATCAATCAACAACATTTCTCACAGATACTAAAGTTTTATGCCCTGTAAAATGACACAGTGAGCATAGCACTCTTGTTTTAATTACTATCAAATATCACTATTGAACTGAAAATGTTAACATATTTCTGAATCAATTCGACTTGAAAATGGTTAAATGCATCAGAAACTCACTAGTGAGCTTTTTCAAACAGAGATCTATGTATTTTCAGATTTTGTACTACTTATAGAGAAAGAAATGCACATTTAAAAATTGGGGTGATTTTTTCTTCACCACTCCCAGATTCAGCCACCACTGAATTACTCCATGAACTGATTTTTATTTCATCTTATGGTGCCTAAAAATTTCAGTATCTGTGAGAATGTTTGTTGATTTATCTCCAACCTTTTGGAACTTTTTATCAAAAAACAATATTCATAAGTATATGTTTATATGAACTTTCTTATTATTTCAATGAGTACAACACACTATTGGATTTTGTGTATTACAAACCAGACCACCCTGTATCTTGGCAGTTTGTTAAATTAATAATTAATTATGAAATAATTTCCTAGAAAATTTCATTTAAATTCATACAATTTCATAAGAGTTGAATTATGCTAATTAGCAGCACTTTTCAGTGTTCTTCAAATAGACAGCAACAAAATAAAATTGTCTGAGAACTTGATGGCAGGAAATGCATTTTCAAAGTATTGAAGACTTCAAATTTATTTCAAATCTAACAGCTTCTTGTTACTTGTCAATCAGTTGAATTTGTTCTTGAAAGAGTCATGCAATCACTAAACTATTATATGAAATGCTCTTGAAGTTTTGTGGTATGATGTAATATGCATTGAAAAAAATGTAATAAAGACATAGTTAAACCTGAAAAGACCTGATACAATGGACAGTAATAGTTTTTATGGTTCCACAATTGTACAAAACAATAATTAGGTATTGAAAATAAAAATAGTGGACTAGCAAACAACTTATGTAATGGCAGATAATCTGGAATGGTCAAATCAGATAGAAGTCATATCTGGTGAAATGAAATCCCATTGATAATTTAGTTATCAACTTATTATAATGCCCCAATTGAGGCCTCAATGTTGTTAGGTGTCTTTGTGCTGCTGGAGAATGTCTGGATTAGGCACCCCAATAAACTTAGCAGAACCACTTCAGTATTTCGGATTTGCAATAGTACTATAATTTGTTACAAATTTAGTACTAATTTATTATCATATTTGCAAATTTATTACTCTTCATTGAACAGAAAAAACCAACGGCTCTGCTAGCTTTATGTCAACCTAGAAGAACCATAGCTGAAAATTTAATATTTTGAAAATTTTAAATATGCCATAATTTATTACTATTTCATTACTAACTTATAACTATAATCACGACTTTTTTACTCATAATTTCAAGGAAAAAAAACGACGATTTGACTATCTCGATCTCAACCTAGCAGTACCAAAACTCAAATCACATGTTTTTTGAAATTCTGTTGTATCATCAATGATAGATAGATAGATAGATAGATAGATAGATAGCTCTATTCAAAGAAGTGTACTCATACATTTACAATACATAAATACAATTAAATGAACTGGCGTCAAATGATATGATGTTTGTTAACAAACGAACATCTGAGAAAGAAGAAGGTACTGAAATCACTATTAAAAAACGAACATGTTAAAAAATACATACTTAATGAGTAAAATAAAGACATTTGATTGATATACAAAACACTAAAATACACTAGAAAAAAAACTGATAGATTGAAATTACATTGTTAGCAAATAAAATGAATATACATAATTATAATAACAATAGCTAAAAATAAATGAATGAAACAAGTGACTGACTGACACTGAATTAAAATATACTTGAACCAAGAAATTCATCTATGGTATATGGTTCTATTTCAATCAATAATTCCAGAACTGACTGTTTGAATTTTTTAAGGCTGGGTTCTATTTTCAGTTTTGAAGGTATTCTATTGTAAAACTTTATACACGAGTACATTGGAGTTTTTTTTGTTAGGGTTAGTCTGTGAGGTGGGATATTAAAATCCATCGTTCTTGTACCATAAATATGATTTGATTCATAGGCTTGGAATTTCCCTCTATTTTTGAATAGAAATACTAAACACTCATATATATAAATGCCCGGGACAGTTAATATATTCAAGCTTTTGAATTTTCCTCTGCATGACTGCCTGTAACTGATTCCCACCAAAATACGTAGACATCTCTTCTGTACTACGAAAACTCGTTGTGCTTCACTGCTTCCACCCCAGAAGATGATACCAAAACGCAACAAAGAGTGAAAGTTCGAAAAATATACTGTTCACAAAGAGTTACTTTCTAAATATTTAGCTGTCACTCTGAAAGAGTAACACACCGAGCTTAGTTTGTTACAGAGTTCATTAATATGAGTCTCCCAGTTCAGATTTTGATCAATGTGAATTCCTAAGAACTTTGTGTTATGTTCTAATTTTATATTTTGTGTCTGAAGCTGTATGTCCTGCGGTATTTGTTTACACACGTTTTTTGTTGTGAAACAGATACAGGCAGTCTTTCCTTTGTTTAAAATCAACTGATTTCTAGTAAGCCAGTCCTGAGCCTTTTTTAGGCTGTCGTTTGATATATCTAACATTTCTTGAAATGAAGATCCTACCGCTAGTATGTTTGTGTCATCGGCATAATTTACTAGATGTGTTTTTTCGTTGACAATTTCTGATGCTAAGTCATTAATATAAAAGATGAATAATAACGGACCCATTACACTTCCTTGGGGTACTCCCACCGACAACTGACCTTCATCGGAAAAGTACTTCTTTCCGTTCCTCTCTATCAATACTTTTTGGACTCGTTCCGAGAGGTATGATCTTATCCAGCTAAGTGCTGGGCCTCTAATGCCATACCGTTCCAATTTTTCCAACATAATAACATGATCAATGCTATAAAATGCCTTTGATAAGTCCAAAAATATACCCATTGACAAGTATTTGTTTTCATATCCCAGAACTATCTTTTCTATGAAGTCATAAACAGCTGTTTCTATTGATTTGCCCTTCAGGTATCCATGCTGTGAGTGACTTAACAACTTTTCAGCATAAAAAAAGCTCAGGAGCCTAGTACACATAGATATTTCAAATATTTTCGAGAAATATGGCAATAAACTTATAGGACGATGGTTTTCCAGTAGTGAAGGATCACCTTTTTCATACAGTGGTTTGATAATTGCAAGTTTTAGGCTGCCTGGAGAAATTCCAAATTGAAATGAATTATTTATTATGTAGCATAAAGGAATTACTAGTTCATCTCCACAACTTTTAATGATACTGCTAGGTATTTCGTCATATCCAGTACTCATCTTATTTTTTAACTTTTTAATTATCTCAATGATTTCACTAATTGTTATGGGAGTAAGAAACATTGAATTTTTCGTAAGAGATATGTTACTAGAAAACTCAACTTCTTTCAAATTCAACCCAGAGTTTGGTGTATTATTCAGAAACAATTTATTAAAATCATTACTAACCATATTTGGGTCACCTGGTATTTTCAATTCTCCATGTTTTGTAGATTTTCCCTTTATTTCTCCTACTATCTGCCAAAGGCATTTTGATTTATTATCACTTTTATTTATACGGTCTCCATAATTCGTTTTCCGGGCCTCTATCAATAATTGATTGTACCTAAATTTTGTTTTTTTATATGCTTCAATATATCCTTCTTGTTCTGATGTTCTGCTCAACACGAGTAAGGTATCAAGTTGATTTTTACACTTTAATATTTCTGGAGTTGGGTAGTTGGATATTTTTTTACTTTTTGAACCTATACATTTGATTGGAAAACATTGATTAAAAATTGGAATTAGTATTCGCATAAAATTTGCCCACTGTTCATTCACATCTGCAATTGAAGTGTAGAAAACTCCCTCCCAATCCTGATCCGATAATATTTTTTTGAAGGATTCGGTGTTATGTATATTAAATGATCTCTTTTCGATTCTACTTGATTTATGTAAGCTCATTTCATAGCTAAACGTGATTTTTTTGGCCTGTGTGATCTGATATATGAGTGTTCAGTATTTCTGATCTATAGACTTGGCAATTCGTGAAAATGTTATCAATACAACTGCTTTTTGAATTTGTACTTATTCGTGTATACTCTAAAATTGATGGAAAAATATTGAAAGACTTCATTAGTGCTAAGAATTCCATAGAGTATTTAGTTTTGCTTTTGATGTCGATGTTGAAATCCCCTGCTATAAAAATCAAACAGTTCTCAGATATAACCATAGATAAAATTGATTCAAGTTTCCTTAAAAATTCCTGCTCTGATGCAGTACGGTAAATGCATAAAATAATCGCTTTGCACTTATTTAACTCAATTTCCACTGCCGCGCATTCGAATACTGCGACTTCTGATATTCTCACAATATCACTCCGCATCTTCCAATTGGTTCCGGTCTTTATAAAAATTGCTGTTCCACCATGGGCATTCTCATTTCTGCAGTAAGCAGAAGTTAACTGATAACCTGTTAGGTTGTAGTTATTGAGTTGGTTTTCCGATTTCCAA